TGTATGTATGAAGCCAGTAAATGTTATTCAAGCCAAAGAAACTGCATCTATTTATATAAATACACATGGACAGAGAATATTTTTTGGAGCACTAAATGTGACAAATGCCCTACTGTCTGTGATAAATATACCACACCAGCTACATAGTGTCAGACGACGAGATGGGTAGGTAGTGAGAAAAAAACATTGACTGAAGCCTTGCAAAGGACTGAATTGTTGTCAATAGCAACAAACATACTGGGAAAGTCAAAGACAATGAAAAAACACACAGGCATATAAATACTAACTTTCTAGGATCTTTATTGGCTCCAAGTAATCCAGAGTAGAACGAGATGAATCAACGCTATACTCCGCCATCTTTATTTTAATATTAGATGCAACCATTATTTTATAGGGGACAACGCGTTATAACATGAGGGGAGTTAACACCCATGATTTTAAAAATGCCTTGATCAACAAGAGTCTAAGTTACAGGGAACATTATTTTGATTTTTCAGTGGACCAATAAATGCATTTGACAGGAAAATATAAAAATTCGACCACAACAGCAATTAAAACAGCTTGCTGCATTATAAGTATCACTTCCCTGTCAAATTAGTTGTTCATACTTATTTGAATCTGAACATAACAGGCCAATTCTATCACACCTTGCTATGCTCGAACTTCCATCCAATCAGAGCATTCCAAATAAACATGATTCCTCACAAATACTAGAGGGTGCTCTGACCAACAAATTGCCATTATCTAAATAAAGAGAACTGATATATATATATATAGTGTGTGGATACGAAAGTCGATTATTCCAAAACAAAAGTGATCAATACAAAGTATATGTAGAGCGGGTGAATACGGAGATAGAGGAATGAATACACAACTACATGAATATTGAAACTCGACAGCACTGTTTCGTAAGGTACAAGTACCTCACTCATCAGGAGCTTTATGTTTAATAATTCACTGCACCATAGAGCATACATTATAAGCTTCGCAAATTAACATATTAATTAAAATT